TCGTGCGGGTGATCCGGGTAGATCTAGGTGGGAGCAGGCGTTCCGCCAAATATCGAGGTCCTAAACCGTTTAGGGCCTTGTATGTAAGCATTAACACTTTGAAGTCGACGCGGAAACGGATGGGCAGCCAGTGCAGCTTGGCCAGGATATGAGAAATATGATGGTATTTTCTCACTCCAGTGAGGAGTCTGGCCGCCGCGTTCTGCACCACCTGAAGTTTCCGCGTCAGCTTCAAAGGAAGCCCCACGTAGAGCGCGTTACAGTGGTTTAATCTAGAGATTACGAGCGCATGTACTAAGGTAGAGAGCGCCCTCGTGTCTAGGTAAGGACACAGCCGGGCACAGGCGCAGAACAACTCATTTGTGTGAATTCACAGAGGACCACTAGAAGAACTATGGTTACAGGTAGGTAATCTCTTTTTTTCCTCTCAGTCTCTAGATAACCTTTCTGTAATATCTGGTCCCTTTTTAAAACTAGATAATTATTTTAAAATAGAATGTTAAATAATTGGCTTGGGTTTTTTTTGTTATCCTTATCATTGTTTTACTGTTCTTGTATACTTCTTTTTTGTTTGTTTGTTTTTTGTTTTGGCTGCTTGCTAAGTACTGTCTTAATGACACTGAAGCATCTGCAAAAGTTGGGAAATAAATTCCTTAAAGAATAGTCTTTTAAAATAGAACATCCACATTTTTTATTATGGGTGAGGCAAAAAATAGTATCTGAGGGAAGACAACACATTATGTAAAATGGGTATGTGCAGCTAATATATTTCTCTTGAAACTGGATTTCCTGGGGAAGGAGGAGCTGATCATTAACAGGATGATAGTGGTGATTTATAATCCACCTAAAAACCCATCGAAACTCAGAACAAAGAGAATTTAAACCATTCACCTCTTCCAGATGCATCCAAAGGAAAACTCTTCAAAAGGAATAAGCACATATCCAAAAATGTTATGTCATGATGTAAACATTCTAACGTATGAATTATTCTAACTTTTTCCCAAGTCAGGGACTTAAAGCATCTCACACCATAATTTTTAAAAAGCAGCACAACTGAAAACATAAGTGGATGATATTGTTTACTTGCTTTATTCAGATCAAGCAAGCACTTTATGCTGCTAATGTGATATTAAAATATTAGGTTACTGGTTTTCATTTAAAATGATTTTGTGATATATTTTTTCCAAAGTGGCTTGACATTTGAGTGGAAATTGTACAAAAACACAAACTCTGCCATCGAAACTTAACATACCACAAGCTCATGCTTAAAAGACTGGATCTACTTGTAATTAACACTGAGGGCTCAGTCATCTGCCTAAAGAACCCCAGTTACACTGATTTGGACTTTTTTTTTATTGTTTCATAATTTTTAGTTCCCTGCCACACAACCAACATTGATTCATTTGCTTGGCAAGCAATTTATTTCCTCCTCGCCAGGAGGGTTGTTTTAAATTGTACCAATGATGAATTGCTTCATTCCCTGTCATTTCAGTGTGTGTGAATATTGCGGTCAATTTATTTCCTTTGCATAGAGATTGGGGTTTTGGGTGCTGTGGCCACTTCATTTAAAAAAAAATTAAAAAGATATTGGTAAGCCACTTGGTTTTGTTATTAGTTCAGAAGGAGACATACTGCTTTGTTGCTCTACTGATATACCACTTTTGTTATTTTTTAAAAAAAAGGACAAGGGGGGCTGATTGCCCCAGGAAACAGTAGAGAAAATGATTCAATACAAAATTAAAGAGTAGTGTAGCCTACTATAATGATTCAAATAGAAAGAAATGAATCAATCCAGTTAAAAACAATGTGAATGCTCCTGCTTATATATATAGCATGTGACCTCTGGGGAAAATGCATCAGTACAACACAGGTATGAAAAGAATTGATATAACTGTGGTTCTTTTCTTAACATGTGATTGAGCCCTCATGTGCTGTAGTTGAATAGACACTGAAAGCAATAGTGAGAAGCATAGCATAGATACTTGGAGAATGCCTGTCTAATTTGTAGTAAAAGATAGGTTTCAGTTCTATTGGTTATTTTTCAGAATGTAGATTTAATTTTTGTGTTTCTGGTCACCTGACCGTAATAAATAAATTCATTCAATTTTTGTGTTTGTTTGTTTTTAATTAAGATTATAATTGAAGTGGTGCCTAGTGAACCAGCACAGTTGATGCCTGGAATTTTGCCAAATACTCCTGCAGTTTCTAACGTTTCAGCTGTTAGCAGTCGTACCCTTGTCAAGGACTTGACCCTCATTTTAATGGTAATTAAGCTGAATTGTTTGTAATACGTGATATTAAATGGCCTGCAACTTACATTTGAAATAAACTGGATATTTAAGTTGGATAAATGGACTACTGATTCTTTTTGAAAGCATGTATTTACCATCTAACAATCACTGTTTTGAAATAAATGCATTTCAGTTGTCATCTAATCTTTCCCTAGCCACAGTTCTTTTGCCAGCATAAAGTAAATGGCATAAATTTCGACAGTGAATTTCTGCAGGTTATAATGTCACTGTAGACATAATTTCTTGTGTACCAAAGCTTGCAGCTCAGCATACAATAGTGTTCACACTGATTTTGTAACTTGCAGAAATTCACCACCAAAAGTTATACCATTTGAGATATCCTGGCAATAGGATTTTGGTCACTTTTTTAAAAAGTCACCAAAGATGCAACACATGTTGTTATGAAAAGTTAAGTTCTGTATACTGTTAAGTTATTCCTCTAAAAGTTGACAATTTGTTCCATTTTAAATGAGCACACCGATCTTCTGGGTTATTAACAACAGCTCTTTAAGAGGATTGGTGTCAAGTCCTATACAGTCAATCCTCGACTTACGAACTTGATCCGTTCTGGAAGGACGTTCGTACATTGAAAAGTTCGTAAGTCGAAGTACCATTTCCCATTGAAATTCATGGGAACGGAATTAATCTGTTCCAGCATTTCAAAAAAATACCAAAATAAAAATAAAAAGAGCAAGTCCCATGCTGGGACTGCAAAACACACACACACATAAAACACAGAACCATAACCCCCCCAGTCCAAACCCACCCTCCAAAACCCACACAGAAAAGTTTTTTTAAAAGGACTTACCAGTCTGAAGCCTGCCAGTTCTCCGCTGCCTCCATGCGGCCGGGGGCGAGTGGCCAGGTGCCCGGCCAGCTCTAGCCTCCCAGCGCTGGGTGAGTGCTGCCTCCAATCACAGCAGCAGGGGACCCCAGGGAGGTCTCCGATGGTGGCGGGGAAGCTCCCAGGGCTTCTCCGTCACCATTGGAGACTTCCCGAGGGTCCCCCGCCACCACAATAGGGGCCGTCAGGCTTTTCCAGGGAGTAGACCGTGCCTACTGGGAAAGCCCTCCCCTGGTAGGCCCAATCTACTCCCCAAGAAAGCCTGATGGCGCCGATTGTGGCTGCGGGGACCTCCAGGGAGGTCTCCCATGGTGACAGAGAAGCCCTGGGAGACCTCCCCGGGGGTCCCTGCTGCCGTGATCTGCGCCTTCGGAGCTTTCAAAGGGCTTCCTCCGATATCGGGCGGAAAGCTGTTTGAGAGCTCCGAAGGCAAAAAGACAGGGAGAAAGGGCGAGAAATTCGAATTTCCCACCCTTTCACCCTACCTTTTTGCCTTTGGAGCTCTCAAACGGGTTTTCCCCCCAACATCGGGGGAAGCCCTTTGAGAGCTCTGAAGGCGCCGATCGCTCCGTTGGCATCGACTTGCAAACGGAGCCTCGTTCGTAGGTCAGTGCTCTGTTCGCAAGTCAATGCCAATTTTTTCCAACTGAGCATTTCATAAGTTGAAATGTTCGTAACTAGGGCTGTTTGTAAGTCAAGGGTTGACTGTAATGCAGTGGTCGCCACCCTTGGGCCTCCAGATGTTCTTGGACTTCAACTCCCAGAAATCCTGGCCAGCAGAGGTGGTGGTGAAGGCTTCTGGGAGTGGTAGTCCAAGAACATCTGGAGGCACAAGGTTGGGGACCACTGCTATAATGGATGCCCAGTCCTCTGGGGAAACATCTTCTGCTATAATTTCAGTGTAGTGTATTGTAGTGTCAGACAAAATTGTAGGAGACCTGGGTTTCAAATCTCTCCACAGTTCCCCTCCTGTCCTTCTTACTGGCACTTCCCCTGAACATTCCCCTTCTCAGCCAGGAGACTGCCCAGCACTGACGATCTCCACCTGTGGAGATACACTCTACCCACCTCTAACCTGAAGTTGAAAATGAGTTTGATAGCATGGATCAAGTGAGCTGACAACTGGCCTGATCTGCATTTTCAAAGGCTCTAAGACATCCTTCAGTTTGGGAGATAAGCCAGTGCTGTGCAGTCTCACTTGCAGAGAAGGCAGGGAAGTAAGCACAGTTACCAGATTGTTTCAGCAGAACACTACTTTCAGCTACTAATTTTTTGGAAGTGGTTGTGGTGTTCATGGAATAGGTATTATTGTATTGGTTGGTAGTGATGCTATTTAACTGTACATTTCTTGTTAATGACCCCATTTTTGCTTTGGATAACGTTGCATAAAGAGATATCATTGTAGTGAACAAATTTGCAACAAATCATGCTGTTCAGAGCATCTGGCAATTGATGAATTAGTTTTTAATTTCTGTGTCATGTCTCTATAGATTTATGTCATTTCCCAGTAGTGGATCATTGTTCAATGTGCTAAATACAGTACAGTGGTGCCTCGCACAACGAGTGCCTCACACAACGATGAATTCACACAACGATGCCTTTTTCTGTTAAATTTGCTGCCTCACACAGCGATGTTTCCTATGGGGGATTTTCACACACCGATCTCCCTTTTCGCTCCTGTAAAAGTGTCTTACAATGTTTGGACGCTGTTTTAAATGATTGCAATGGTTAGTCCACCTCCTGAAACCTATGCAAACTGATTTTGGTGTTGTTCTGACACTTCGTTAATTTATGATGATTTTTTGTTTTTTCTCCATAGGAAACCATTGGATGGTCTGTCTAATGGTTTCCAATGGAAAAAACAAAAAATCATCATAAATTAACGAAGTGTCAGAACAACACCAAAGTCAGTTTGCATAGGTTTCAGGAGGTGGACTAACCATTGCAATCATTTAAAACAGCGTCCAAACATTGTAAGACACTTTTACAGGAGCGAAAAAGGACTTCGCAAAGGCATTGAAATGTATTGAGTCGGCTTCAATACATTCCAATATAGGAAACATTGTTTCACTCAACGATGTTTCCTATGAGTTTTTTCACCTAAAGACGGCAATCCGTTCCAACTGGAATGGATTAACCGGTTTTCAATGCATTCCTATGAGAAATGGTGTTTCACAGAACGTTGATTTTTTTGGAACCAATTAACATCGTTGTGTGAGTCACCACTGTATTTGATAATTAGAATAACACCAAAAATACATATAATTGAGAATAAGTATTTATGGATGAATAAAACAGACAAGTTGAAATAGTTCACAAGATACCCTAGAAGTTTTTTTAAAAGTCATTTTTCAAGTTCATTTGTATTAATATTGACAAGGGCACATACCACTTTTTCAGTTATTTCTTTCAGCAGATGTTTTCCTAAAGCTTGTGAATTGTTCTTTGATCAAACATCCTCAGGTTAATACTGGCTAAAATCCTGTCACTTATAATAGTAAATTGCACTAGGGGATGCCCATTTAATCAGTGGCGATTTGGTGAGTCAGCTCCTCCATATATTTCATTAATTCAAATGGACTTTAACTGTGTTTTACTATGCTAAATTAAATTACAGTTAGAGTAGGCCAGAACTGATCATGGCAAGTTGTCCAAGCAGTTTGCTGATACTATCAGTGGCTTTTAAGTAAAAGTTAGGTGGGGCTCGTCAGCCATGGAAGGCAGCCCATCTAGGAGAAGGAAAACTCCAATTTCAAACCTCCACTGCCTTGTGGCTATATCCACTCATGGAAAAGGCTTCAGGAGTTAACCTCGAGGGACTTTAACTGTGTTTTACTATGCTAAATTAAATTACAGTTAGAGTAGGCCCATTTAAATCAATGGATCTTTTGGAGAAGTTGATTGATCAAATTGCCACTGATTCAATAGCTGTACTCTAGTGTGTTTTACTACTTTAAGCAACAGGATTTGGGCCACTGTGTTTTAGTGATAACGATCAGATTTTCAGAAGGAAAAGTACCATACTGTGTAGAGCAGTGGTTCTTAACCTTTGTTACTCGGATGTTTTTGAACTGCAACTCCCAGAAACCCCAGCCAGCACAGTTGGTGGTGAAGGCTTCTGGGAGTTGCAGTCCAAAACTCCTGAGTAACCCAAGGTTAAGAACCAGTGGTGTAGACTATAGTTCAACCATATATATTTTTTCAATTATTTTATTTTGTTGACAGGTTTTGGTACCTAGTTGCTTAACTAAATTTTAAAATTGGAAATTCAAAGTGTACCTTGCATTGTAAACTTCCAAAGATAATTCTGGAAATAATGGGGATGCACTGACAAAATGTACATACAATTTTTTTTATTTTTCATTTTATTTCTTATTTGTCAAAGTATACATTCATGGTAAGAATTATTATAACATCTAATACATATATTTTCTTAATTTAAGGATGAATACAAAAACTGCACTGGAAATGATTTAGATGGAAAAATCATAGCCAGAATTAAAAGTCCAGTTGAGAAAGATGCAAATATTCCCCTGTTCCAGGGTAAAACAAGTACAGTTGAGTTTCCTTTTCACAAAGGAATTGCTGAAATTGAGGTGAGTCTTCTGGAAACAGTTGTAATAAATGTAAATTTTCTGTTAATACTGTACTTCAGAACTGGAAATCAGTAGTATATAATGGCCAAGATATAGCAGTGCAAACTGTTATCTTACACCAGTGGACTTGGAATTTTCTCTTCCTTCCTCTGCAACCAACCATCTGTGGCACCAGTCGGAGCCATGTTTTAGAAAGCATAGAGAAGGAACTTTCTTTGCACGCCTGGGAAATTGGAACAGGTTCTTAGCGTCATGGAGGCTGTAATATGGAGGAGAAGGACTTTGTTCCTCTGATAATAGATACAAATATCGTGAGATTTGGGGTAGTACCCTTTAATCTGGATCACTTTTAACAATTTTCTTTACATTTTATACCCTTTATATTTTTGGTCTTTCCTATAGATTAGAAAAGGTTGGATACTAATTGCTGTGATCTGATCAAATTAAGTACAGTTTATATTAGTTGATTATAATGCAAAAGTAATCAAGTAAATGTACTGAAATCAGTGGGATTTCAATGTAGTTATCAGTTAAGCAGCATGATTGTCTATATCAGGGTTCTCCAAACTTTTCACACGGAGAGCCACATAATACATATTTTATATTTTTGAGGGCTGAAGGAACACATGCATGTGCACATACACACGTGCACACTCCCGCTCACCTACACGCACGCACTGATACCCATCCACATGCACACGCTCCCGCCCACACACAGTCTCACATGCACACACGCACTCCTGCCTGCATGCACACCCACATGGGCTGGACAAAAAGGCCAGGCGGGCTGGATGTGGCCCGCGGACCATACTTTGGAGACTTTGGTCTAGATCATGCTCATTATTTATTAACTGTCTACCTTAGTGCTTGTGAATGAGAATTGCATCTTCTGTTTCTTAAGAATGCGTCTAATCACTTGGGGCCTGCTATCTGCTTTCATGGTGATAGAAGTAACTTTAACTTCTCATTGGGAGAAGTATGCTTTCTTTTACTATACTGTATACTATGGCTTATCTTTGCATAATATTAAACTAAAGAGTAACAGTGAATATAAAGTAAACAGTTTCCAAGAAAGAATATACAAGCTATACATAATTTTCCAGTGGTGTTTTTAAAAAAGATTATTGAATATATAATTAAAGCTTGTAATTGCTTAGAAGGCTAAATCTGCCTTTTAAAATATCTTACCATAATTATAAGTTAACTTTGATCATTAGGAGTTAGCTTAGTTTATCAGGATCTCTTTTTTACTAAGATAGATGAATAAGTTTTTTTTTATGAAAACACCAATTTCAGCATGGAATAAAGACATATCTAAATAGTTGTTGTGGGTTTTTCGGACCCTTTGGCTGTGTTCTTAAGGTTGTTCTTCCTAACGTTTCGCCAGTCTGTGTGGCCGGCATCTTCAGAGGACAGCACTCTGTGCTCTGTGTTGTCCTCTGAAGATGCCAGCCACAGAGACTGGCGAAACATTAGGAAGAACAACCTTAAGAACATGAAAAACCCACAACAACCATTAGATCCCGGCCATTAATGCCTTCGTGAATACACATCTAAATATTTTGCAGAAATAGGATTAGGTAAAGCATTCTTAAACAGATGGTAGAGATGACACATATGTTTTGCTTTTTCAGGATCTTGTGCTTGCACAAAATAGTCCGGGGAAAGATAGTACTGAATACGTTCTTGTATTTGAGCCAGTTATACCAACTTTGAAAAAACATCTGAAGCCTTACAATCTGTCTTTTATGTTTTACAATGGTGAGTTTCAATGTTTCTGTTTTTTTTTGTTGTTTTTTTTTGTAATATCAAACACATGTTGTATTTTAAGGCTTTGTTCTTGTTTACTTTCTATTAAGTATCAGTATATCATTTTATTATGTACTTTTTGGTTATTTATGGCCGAAGCCAAAATGACCGGACTGAAATGGACTAATTTCTGTCTTCAGGTTATGAAAGACAACAGCAGATGGCAGCACTCACAAAAGAGAGAGACCGATTGTCTCAGACAATAAGTGCATACAGAAGTTTGTTTGACACCACTAGTCAGCTTCTTGCCGAAATAAAGCGTATGTAACATTATGCTATATTCATTTCAGTGTATTTTTGTATGTATTGTTAACCACAGCAGTTTCATTTATGGGATTAATTTTCTTCTCTTTCTTTACTTTACTGTCTCAAACATAAATTACCTGGTAGTCTTGTGTTGAATGATAGATGTTATCAGATTTTAACTATTTATTGATAACCAGCATGTTTGTGCTAATTGTGGCTAGAATCAATAATAATATTTTTATTTTTTAATTTCATTTCAGTTTCATCCAGCAACCTATCATGTGCAATGCTGATATATACAGTACTTTAAACCCTAATATTGCACTCCATGCGCCTGAGGAAATAGATTATTGTCTATGTCAATTCATGCTAAAATAAATCTGTTAGTTTAAAAGGTGCTATAGAACTGTTTGCTGTTCTTCTGGAACAGACTGGCCCACCTATTCCTTTCAACATTTTGAATTCTGCTAATATATACTGTTACTTTCCAATAATGCTCAGGTGTTGTAACCCAGATTAAAGTAAGCCCAAATAACAATTTTTTAAATCAATTTCTCCCTTATTTCCTTGTGATTTTGTTTTTATCTTAAATTGTGTAGAGGTCTATTATATGTCAATAACTGTATTGATTTTCTTGACATACACCACTGATACCTCACTTCACCTAATAAAGTGCACAGTTATTTAGTGTGAACTGGAATGAGATATACAAGCACATTGTGTTCACAGCCTATGAATGCAACAGATGAGAAAACAGTATGGCTGCAGTCATGGTTGCTGTAATCCCGCTTGTACTTGTTGCTAACCTTTCTCTGCATACTTCTATAGAGAAATGTAAAAAGGTGAATTAGCACAGAACCATTTAATGAATCATAATGGAATGTGTAAGTATTTGGCTCAAGTAAATAGCAAATGTTCCATCTGTTTCACTTAAGATTACTTTTTTTAGTGCTGTCTATCATTCAGTGTTGCTTTCATTGAGTGATATGAATGCTATGTGAATTCAGCGTCAGTCCAATCTTAATTGATTCCTAATAATTAATTTTATTGTTTCAGGTAAAGTCCAGGAAGCTGAAACAAAAGAGACCCATCTTAAGAATGAACTGAAAAAACATCAGATTGATATACCTCAGACTAATACCGTATGGCTTTTTCAACTTTCTGGAACAATTTACCTGTAGAGATCCGCCTGACCCCCTCGCTAAGGCCCTTTAAGACCAATTTGAAAACATGGCTATATAAGAAGGCCTTCCCTACAGCCATCACCTAGCCTATTTTTCTTTTCCTTTTCTCTTTTTCATCTTGGATTCTGTTGTTAATTTGGGTCGTATTTTTAGTACATTTATATTTTCATAGGTGTTTTTTGTGTATATCGCCCAGAGTAGACACGTTCTAGATGGGCAGTATATAAGTCTAATAAAATAAATAATAAATATATTTCTTTCTTTCATACCTAGATAGTGATTGACAAATATTTTACAGGGTGTAGGAGATTTGTAGTTTTTCATTAACAGACTGAGTATGAGAAAACACTGCTACATCTCAAGTTAGCTGAAGATTTGTTAAAACATTCTCCTACCTCTGTTTTTTCTTCCAGTCCCTATCAAATACATGAAGGGATGCTTTAATATTATCTTTGCTGACTGAGATCCAGTGTATAAGAGATTCCCATATAACTTCTCAGATTTCAGCTGTATGGAGGTCACTCTGTTTGGCATTCTCAGAATCATCTTTTGTTAACCCATAGCACTATAAATGATATTTAAAATATTTTGTAATAACATTGATACAAGATAGATAGCTGAACCTGAACTATGTATTTATTTGCACACAGTGGCTTGTTACGTGGTCAAGCACAAAGCGAGTATAATTTCAAGTGATTTTTGTAAGACTACTATTTCATTTTAAGTGAATTTGAAGCAAATAATATCATTGGTGTTGAGGACAATTAGAACATAAAGTGACTTTCTTAGTACTCCACAGCTCAGCAGTCTAACAGTGTTCTGAAGCCAGATTTCTAATCTGCATTTGCTGAGTAACACTGTGCAGGCTTAATAAAAAGTAGGTTGTGCTTGATTAAATGAAGCTTATTTACAGCTAACTGTCAGAAGATTGCCACCTTAAGCAGTCCTGTTCAATACTGGATTCATTTTTATTCCAGCATAGAAGAATCCCAATTACATTTAGAGGCTCTTGATAGTGCCAAATTTCAGTTTCTTTTTTTTAACACACTAAACATAAAATTAGTGTAATTAAATAATGCCTTGCATACAAATACTATATCAGTTTGTGCTGTTTGATTTCCTTCTTGTTGAATAGCACTTCATGCTGCCTATATGTGTAAATACTTTTTGAGATATATGTTCCTTTGTTATTGTTGTTGTAGTTCTTGTTCTTTTTCTTCTTGTTGTTACAGCTTCTAAGCTGACTGAACCAGGACCTTTGCATTTCATTCTGTGTTATACAGCTAGTCACATTTAGCAATGCCAGCAAAAAAGTGCATTCAAAATCACTTATAGGCAAAATAATAATGCTCATCATTGCTCTCCTTTCTGGGGCCCACTTAAATGAGGGCTTGCTTTATTATCTTGCCTAAAATCATGGAAGCTGTATTAAATATACATATCATAAATAAAGTAAAATATTTTTGTGTAATATGTTGCCTTAATTTTCAGCTGCAATATGTGGATGCTTTAATAAAAAACAAGAAGTCTGAGCAGGAAGGAATAATAAAACAGCCCAGAAGAACTTGTGCACTTACCAATTATCCCAAGGGGAGTCAAGAGGTTTTGGGAAAGGTGAGTCTAAACTTAATACCATATTGAGCAGTTAATATTTTTCCTTACTTGTTTCCCCCCTTTTAAAGCTAATACTTCTCTTTAACTAATACATCCACTTTATCTTACCACTATACTATCAGCTTATTTTTAATAATATGAGAGGGCTGTATTCACCTTTCAGAGCATTTCCCTTTATGGGTTCTTGTCTCGCCTTTCTTGGTTTTAACAATAACAAATTATGAGAGAAAGATTCTTGTGTCTTTGGATAGAACTGAAACCTAACAAAGTTAATTGTACCTCAGAATTAGTTGATGGGTTTTTTCTTTCTAGATGAGTGAAGAAATGAGCACAACAAATTCTTCTTTCCTCTCAATAGCCTAAATACTCATCTTCATTGTGGTCTCTGTGCTTCACACACATGGTTAGTCAAGTGCATGCAAAATGATCTTGGAGTCTTCTAGAACAAATGCAAATCCATTTTGGCAAGAGTCCTGCCCACCTACTTGCCAGGATAAATACACAGGGTTCCCACTGAAACCTCACTTTCTTTTCATTTGCCACTCCATTAGAAGGTCAGATAATTCTACAATCAAAGCTCCTAGATTGCAGCTTCTACTTTCACTTTGATCACCTCTCTCAACTGTCCTTCAGAATGATGACCTTGAGCTTCAACTTTAGCTATGCCCTCTTGATTCAGACTCACCTTTCCATTCTGTTTCATCTTGGACAATTGCATGAAAGGCTTTATTCAAGAAGTCCACACAATGCAGAAGCAATATCCTGCACATCAATGCGTACCTGTCAACACTGTTTCTTCTCCCACTTTGACCCCTTCAAGGATTATCTTACTAAAACCATTTTCCTCCCTCAACATGTCATCAACTCTCTACACTGGGGCACAAAGCTACCTCACCTTCTCAATAGAATACCCTTCTGCCTTCCTTAGCCAGCAAGGGTGGTCACAACCAATGCCTCCTTCCTTGGATAGGGAGCACATATCCTCCACCACATTTTCAGTGGCCTCTATACAATCTGAGTAAGCTTACTACATCAACAACATATATTTATTTATTTAATTAATTTATATCCCATCTATCTGTATAGCAGCCTGAAAGGCCCGGAGAACCATTGAACCTTTGACACAAAGCCACACTGTTCATATTCTTTGAACCTAAATAAACAGTGCAACACTTAGCTTCCCTTCTTAACCTTACCACAACAGTTTTGCATTGGTGCCTCCTCTGGACCATGCACCTCCAGGTGGTCTATCTCCTGAGTGACTGTAACACAACAACAGATGTACCACAGCCATCTCCCACAATTGGCAACGTCTCCCATCAGTTGTTCACCAACCTTTTCATCATGAGAACACTGATGAGCATTTGGTGTACCCAGTGAGCAGATCTCCATCTCACAGAGCCTATTTCAGGCATGCAGTTCTTTGTTCCTGGACCATGCAACTTCTCTATGCATTTCCCCCATACTCTTCAGAACCAGGGTACTGTCAAGATCCCAGACAACCAGTCACAGTGCATCCTCATAATCCCAAGGCAGTCCTGACAGCTTTGGTTTCCCTATCTTCTCTTGTAATCATCTTTCACCAGGGAGAGGACATCATTATATCTACCTTTCCAGAGGTAGATATAACTTGATCTTTCACCCATAGAACTGATTCTTTTCATCAGAACAATTACCTGTTCATAGCCTACAGCAGTAGTTACCAAGTTTTTCCACTCTTGGCTCCCTTACTGGCTGTGGCTCCCCAATACTGTATGATACTTTGGGTGAAGAGCCTGGCCTTCCACAACAGACTTCTTCTCCCACAGACATTCCATCCCTCCTTCTATTCCACCTGCCCCTAGGGAGTTCTCTTTTTCTTTCACACATTCATACCTCCTTGAGTGTACTGTCCACTCTGCCCACAGCACCCATGTCACACCACGTTCCCACCCTTTTTCGCACATGATTTGCCACATTGAAAGCCTGTCATTCCCATGACATGCCATTGAGCAGGCCCAGCCATCAATGAAAACAAGCCCTACCCCCCTCTCATTGTGTCTTGGCCTACAACAGACAAAAGGATTCAACAGTGCCCTTAGTTGGATTTGGTGGTGCCCCAGTGCACAATATGGAAACTACTGGTTTACAGCAATCCAAATAAAGGCTGCCTCATATTACTACAAAGGATTGCAAAATAGGTGAGGGTGGCTGTTCATCTGGCATATGATTCTGTGGCTATCCCATACCTAGTAAAGTTTTTGCCGGCTCTATAAGAGCAGTAGCTTCCTCCAAAGCCTGGATGTACAGGATACCTGTAGAAACCATTTTTGAGTGGCTACCTGAGTCCAGCCATTGACATTTATGTGGCACTCCTAACTAAACATACGGGCTCACCAATATGTACTCTTTAGAGAAACAGTGCTGTTTGTGGCACTCCGGCAATGCCATCCACTTGGTAAATGAGTTTGTTAGTCACCCATATGTATGTTGCACCAATACCAGAACAAAGAGCAGATTGCTTTCCTGAGACTGTGTTTCTTCACATTGTCATATGTGCGTTCACACACCATGCCCTCCTCTCCTCTGAAAGTTCACCAGAAGCTGTTTCCTTTTTTCTTGCTGCCCTATTGCAGTGGACTTCCAGAACTGAGGCTGAGGCAGGATCTGCATATATTTATCCTGGCAGAGAGTGAGGGGGGGTTCACTGTACATGTGCAAGAGTAATATGCATATGCATAAAAGTATAGATTATCACTTTAAAAACCACAGTTACAGATAAGCAACCCGTTCTTCTCAGATGTATTATTTAATGTTAAATTTGTTTGTTTGTTTGTTTGTTTGTTTGTTTGTTTGCCAGATTGCACACTTAGCACAGATTGAAGATGATGAAGCTGCAAAAGTAATCTCTTGGCATTTGGCAAGTGATATGGACTGTGTAGTCACTATGACAACTTCTGCTGCCCGTCGCATCTTTGATGAAACTCAAGGCCGGCAGCAGGTATTGCCTCTTGATTCTATTTATCGGAAGAATCTACCAGACTGGAAAAGGTAAAGTTTTTAAATATCCTTCATAATATTGGCTTTTAGATTTTCTGTGTTTTTAATATTTTAATATCTTTAAAATAACTGTCGTTATGGAATGTGAAATTAAATGCTTTGTTTACAGTCCTGCCCCGCTTTACGATTATCCCGTTTAAAAACGAATCCGCTTAATGGTTTTTGCGATCGCAAAACGATGGTTTGAATGGGGTTTTTCTGCTTTGCAATGATCAGTTCCCTGCTTCGGGAACCGATTTTCGCTTTACGACGATCAACAAACAGCTGATTGTCAGGTTTCAAAATGGCTGCCGGCTGAAGAAAATGGCCCCCCGCTGTGCTTAGGGATGTATTCCTCGCTGCACAGGCATGGAAAATGGCCGCCCCTATGGAGGATCTTCGCTGGACGGTGAGTTTTCAGCCCATTGGAACGCATTTCAGTGTGTTTCAATGGGTTTTTTATTTCGTTTGACGACGTTTTCACTCTACAGCAATTTTTCTGGAACGAATTAACGGCGTCAAGCGAGGCACCACTGTATTTTATAGACTGAAAGCCTAGTTCTGTCCATGCTTACTAGGAAATAACTCTTATTTATTTCATATATATTTATTCTCACCCCAATTTATATTGATTGCTATCTTGGTTTTGACTATATTTGTTGTGTCGTATGTTATCAAACAGCTATTTCAGATTTTAGCCATTCTTGTAAAGACAAACTAGACATGTCAGGAACAGATCTATCTTTTCTAATATTCGGGTAGGATGTCTTATAGGTGAGGCTGCATAGGAATGCATGTAGAAGCCCCACTCTCATTTTAATTGTACTTAAGTGAGACAAAAGCACCTGGGGATAGATTTCAAAGATATGTGGTTCTTATGTCATTACTTGTAACATCATCTTTTTTGTTAAAATCAGATGTACCACTTCTGCCCCGTTTTCTGTGATTTGGACAAATCCATTTTTAAAATCATGAAGCTGTTTCTTTATTTTTTTGCTTAAATAAAGAGGTGAGCCCAAAAGGTAAGGGCTTTCCGCAAACAGCCTCACCCTATTTTGGTGATCTTTAAGATAGCAAAAATATTTCTCACTGGCAGTGCTAAGTAACTCTATTGTGTTTCTTGGCAAGATAGCTAGATAATGTTCCACGATATTTTTGTGTTGTGTAGCTTTCACACACCAAATTAGCAATATGGAGTGCTGCTGGATCCATCCCTTCTCTGTACAAGTGCTATGCTAGAGGAACGCTAATTAGGAGCAAAATGTGGGATTCTTCCCTTTTGAAAGTGTAGCTGCTTCAGAGGAAACTTCCAGTGTCTATTTCACTTTGAATTTAGATTTTAGGAAAAATGGCTCAGTTATTCTTAACCACAGTTATCACTGTATTTTTTGCTTTGACTATCAATTTAGATACTTTCAGGTTATCTAATGTTTCTATATTGGAGTATATTTTGAAAAATGTCACACTGACTTCTGTCAATAGACTCAACAGCTCCTCCTCACAGAAGGCAGGCAGGTTCTTCACGCAGAATGAGTTTGAACAAGGTGATGAGGCTTTTTTACAGCCTTCTGACATGAGGGAGGATGGGACTTACAAAGCAAACAAACCTTCCATTAAACTGCTGTGCTTAGACAATTTTGCAGTGCTCTTGAATAATGACCTCCCAAATCTACCCTGGGATCTTAAGAAAGAACCAGGTGGTAGCAATGCAGTTGTCTTGTCATTGCCAAGGAATGTTTCCAAAGAGGTCCAATAACTAAAGTGCAAAAACCACATACGGGAGTGCATGTGTCTCATTTCCATGTGACCTAGCTCAGTTCCAAGTGATGCATGCACATAATATTGAGCTTTGGCATTCATAAACAGTTGCTAGTCTGCTTCTCCTGGGGATGGGTTAATGTCAAAGGCAAAAATACAAGAAGTAAGTATGGAGACCTGTGGGGATCATTGCACCACTATCTCCCATCATTAATGGGGAAGCCCTGCATTTAGATTTTTTTAAAAGTTTTGTTTTGTTTGTTAGATAAACCAAATTGTGAACAGTGACCTGGTGAAGGGGTTGAAGCAGGTGCCTAGTAACCTTGAAGTGCAGCCCAGAGAAGGTGGGAAGCCCATCTCTCTGCAGGAATTTTGGTGAGGCTAGGAGAAAATGTTCCAGTATCACAGGAGCACTGAAGAGCATTTCTGCACCCAGATCTAGATTGATGTCAGCTCCAGTCCTTCATACAAACCATTTGAGGCTAAAGCATGCATTCTCTCAAAGGGGGATCATCAAGAGCATCCTGGCTTGTTGTCAGGGTCTCAGATGGAGCAAAAGGAAATAGATACAGTGAAGGCAGAGATTAAAATGTTGCCTTTATGAGAACAGGGTCCACAGCCTAATCCTGTGAAAGGGGGGGGAGCTCTTCTACTGTTCTCTTTAAAGGGCCTGGATGCTGTGCCTGTCCACCCCAGTATCAAATTCTTCCTGAGAGGAATGGCCCTTTTGAAACCACTGTTGTTTATAGATACTACATTTGGAACTTTGTCAGAGTCATAAGGACTGACAAATGCTCTTTTCAGCCATTGTATGGGGTTGTCGTATCTTCCAAATTCTCTTCCCAGTGGCTGTCATTTTGACATGCAGAGTATTGGAATTGCAATTGTTACTAGCAATGGAGATACACTTTTTTTCATGGTTGTTGCTGATGTGTCTGGACCAGCACTTGTTCCTAAAGTATCAGTGTAATGTAAGTTCTGATACTACCTAATTTAATCCTCTTTAAGGCAAAGCAACTGAAAAGGAGTAACTGTATTGGGGTGTCATGTATGGCATCAAAATTTACCTAAACACTTCTTTTCATATTGACTATTTATATCCTTTCCATCTAACACCATGGAATAGGGGTTTCCAGGAATACCTTTGGGAGGTGGATCTACATGTCAGATATATGCTTTTTTCAACAGGTGTTGTGAATCGCTGTCAATTGCGGCACTCTCTGTCTTTTTCATTCACATTCACAGAACAGTTGCATAAAAATCAGCATTCTTCATGCAACACTATAATCAGATACCTTCATTTGACTTAAAGCTCTCCATGATGGTGGCATAAATCAGTAGGCGATAAAACTTTCAAGGAAGTAGGCAGCAAAGGGCCGACATAGTACTGTTCTACTTCCAATGTAAAGATATCCTCCTTAATGACCCAAAAAGGATATCCTCCTCTGGAATGAGTGTTATTGCTGCTGAATAGCATTCTGATGTTTCTGATTGGCAGCAGGGGAGCAGTACTTAGCCATTTATTCCATCCTACTATTTCTGATTTATTGTTCAAGTTATAATTTTTCATCTCATGGTTCGGGGTTTTGGGGTGTTTCATCATTTTTGCTGTGACACATCCCTAAACAGTTAGCTTGCTTCCTGCAAGAGAGTTTATGTCAAGCTTAATTCATATATTAATGTCTTATCAGAGGTAGTGAGGGGGAAAACTAATCCAGAGATACTGTACACTCCTTCAATGGCAGAATATCAATAAATAATCATGAAAAGTTCCAGTCTTTGTAGAATCATAGAATAAAAGAGTTGGAAGGCCATTGTCTGTTCAATGCAGGAATCCAAATCAAAGTAGGTTTGACAAATGGTTCAATTTTCTCTTGAATGTCTCAAGTGTTGGAATGCTCACTTCCCGAAGTTATTGATTCCATTGTTATACTGCTCTGTCAGTTAAGATGTTTTTCCTGATATTCAAACAAAATCTGACTTACTGTAATTTGAGTCTATTACTACATGTTCTGTACGCAGCATGACCCTAGAACAGATCCTGCCCCTCCTTTGTATGACTACCATTCAAGTATTGGAAAAGTGCTATTGTATTTCCTCAAGGCTAAACATGCCCAATTCTTTCAGTTTTTCACCATAGGGATTGCTTTCCCTGATCATCCTTCTTGCCCTCCTCTGAACATCTTTAAATTGAGTGGCCAGAATTGGCCAAGGTAATCTGGATGAGGCCTAACTAGTGCCAAATAGAGGAGGACTAGTTCCTCACAGGATTCGTATACTTCTGTTAACGCAGCCTAAAAGAGCATTTGCCTTTTTTGCAGCCACATCACATTGTTGGCTCATATTCAGCTTGTGGTCCACTCAACATACTGTCTAATTTTCAGCCCCGCTGGGTGGGGCTCCACCTCTCTCTTGCACAGCTTTGCCCCTGTGTGTGTGTATGACTCTGTCCCCCCCCCACACACACACACTGCGTTCCGTAGCAACCGGATCCTCACATGATCACTGCATGGAGAAGGAAGAGAACTGTGCAGAGGGAAATGGAGTTGTGCTCACATGCACCCAGCTTAGCGGGAATCTTGGATTCACTACAATTCCGAGATCCTTCTTACTTGTAGTATTACTAAGTCAAATATCCCTCTTATGTGTTTGGGTTTTTTCTCTTTTCTTCTTAAATAAGTTAGATTGTAATCCTAATTGCTAATGGAATACCCAACTTCCTACAGCAGGATGTCCAGATGTTGACAGAATGAAGGGAAAGAAAATAATATTTTCTGAACTTATTTTTAACCAGGCCTTTACTTCATTTACGAAATGGAAAAAACTATTTCAAGCCTATGGGAAATCCTGTATTTGCCAGAAACCTGCTAATATTTCCAGAACATAGAGAATATTGCCAGACAGGTAAATATCCTGAATAGAATGAAAGGTGGAGTTGTATTGTTTACAAACAAGTATGCAGGAGGGGAGGTTAAATTATTTTCATGTAAAGAGAAACAAAATAAAAATGATATTTCTGTGGGAAGAGTGTTCTTTCGTCTTCAGCCTGGCTAACAGTAAGTGAGGTTATGGCAGAGCTTGTCTTCAAAATCCTTGGTGTCTCATATATATATAAGTTAAATCCTTGGTGTCTCATATATATATATATATATAAGTCATATGTATATAAGTTAAATGCATGACTGAAAAAAAAACACAAGCATCAACATCCTTTGAATTTTTTTATGGTTTCCTATGGTACATTCAGAAATAATTGCATTTATTGCAGTTGGTCTTGCCTTGTATTACATTGTCATCCAAAGTTGTAATGAACTATTATGTCAAGATTTTGGCACTGTATTCAGTATCTGTGTTAAGCCTCACAATGTATTTATGTGAAAGGAAACTGGTTTGCAGAATAGTTAATGTTTTGAATATTTTATTAAAGTCTCTCTGCCTTATTTCATTTTAGTGTTTGGGATGCTCTTGGGAGATACCATTATTATTGACAACCTCGATGCTGCAAACCATTACAGAAAAGAGGTCTGTATTATAATATAATAGGTCATTTTAATTTTAAACAATCAAACTGAAGAACTTCATAGAAAGAATTACATGTGATTTTCCACTTGGAATCACTAAGAAAAATTCACCCTAATAAAGTAGCTAATAGTAGCCAGACAGGGGAACACTGTCATATGAGATTAGGATCCATTGACTGACATTCTGGTGTTTACTAAGTCTCACTAGATGAGGGCCATAGATTCCATTGATTCAAAGGGGCCTGCTCTAGTTGTGACTTATTTTAGCACAGTAAGTCACAACTGCAACTTACAGAGGAGTTGACTCACCAAATTCCCACTGATTCAATGGGCATACTCTAGTGTGTGTGACTTATTGTGCAAAGACACAGTATTTTAGCCAAAGACTTGTTAAAAGATCATCACTTCCATTTTAATAGGTTGTAAAAATTACACATTGTCCAACATTGCTGACAAGAAATGGAGACAGAATTCGAAGCAATGGAAAGTTTGGAGGTCTTCAGAATACAGCTCCTCCCATGGATAAGCTGCGAGGAATGGTTTTTGGAGCACCTCTCCCACAGCGTTACAATATTCTCTCTGAACAAATAGGTATGTTAAAAGTATAATAAGTATTTTTACAGAGTATGTGCTTTAAGTGTTTGTTGCCTGTGATAAGTCAGAATAGGTACTGGATTCTAACTATGTTTACTTATGTCAAATTGCTGTTCCTATTTTTACCTAATACATTGCCAGTTGTTTGCAATTTGAGCTGCTCCCATTCATTAAATGTAAGTAATCATGAAATAATGGAATAAATCATTAGTAAAGAAAAGTTGTAAAGCTTATACAGTAGAATGATTCATGGACATTAGTTTTGATTCATTTTTATTGTTTGGACTTAAATGAACAAACATAAAGAAAGTCAGGCTATTTTCCTTGGTTTTACATGAGAATATTCAGCCTTCCTAGCCCTAGGCAACCTCCCTCATCCCAAACCACCACTAGAAGGATGGACTGATAAATCACTTACGAGTGGTCTTTTAGACCAGATGGGCGGGGTATAAATCAAATCAAATCAAATCAATCAATCAATCAATAAGATTATATGTAGAAATCTCTAGGAAGGGTAACTATCAATCAGATTCAGTTTGATGGCATATAATTAGTTTAATTTGTAAGAAATATTGTTTTGGAGCTAGAACAATTTCTGTCAAGTATATCAACAATCATTATTATTATGATGTGAATTTTGTGATACAGTGTCTCCATGATGTTGCGATTTTAGACAACAGAAATGTAAAATTTAGGACTGAGTTCAAAGGTTCAGCTCTAGTAAAACTGCAGCTTGTGAAATTGTGTATATTCTATACCAGTATAGCAAGGTACACTGGTACACTTCTTGCTGTGCAGTGTTCTACAATGGAGAAAATTTGTATTATAATTTTCCACATTATTTTTTCATTTACAGCAAAAGAATTATCACTACCCTTTATGTATTAAGATTTTTACAGTGTGCATTGCATGAGTTGTGGGTGATCTGGATGAAAACTTGGGGGGCGGATTAAAATGTGTTGAGTGGTATTTAAATGCCCTGTGTCTAAAAGAGTGTTCACATGTGTACAGATGATTGTGTTCAGTCCAAAAACTTGAGTCTGAAATCAGTGGGGAACAAAAAGAACATAAAGTCAGACAAAACATAAAAATATGCTTCCTGATGTTTCATGACACCATTGAATTCCATTGTAAACTCTACCCCATTAATAGTCCCATACAGGGATGATGATGATGATTCCCTGCATTAAGGATTTCCAAAAAAATGGCATGGGGCTCTTTTGTTCCAACATGTTGTGTTCACTAGGGCAATCTTACAAATGCTTACTTAGATTTATGTTTTGTTGTATTCAGCTGGACCTATGCTCTGTATTGAAGATTGTCCCTTAAGTGGAAGTGAGTTTCTGCTGAATAGAAAGTCATGGAACTCATTTGTTCTGGAATTGAAATTGTGACAAATAATCTTGTGTCTTTTATTCTACTCTTCCTTCACCTGTTAGATCTTCTTCAGCAATATTTTACAGCTGTTGGCAGACTCAGCGAAGCAAGTTCAGAACTTAAAGAGCAAGAACAATCACTGAGTAGTTCTGAAATGCAAGAAAAGAAAAAAGAGCTTGCTGACCAGGAAAATGAACTCAAATTAATAGAGCAAGAATTAGGTATGTCCCATGTTACTTTTATCTGACCATTAAGACTATTAACTAATTAGAATGTGTTTAATATGTTTAGTAAAGAGGGGACTTAGTATAAATGCTTAGAATTCATTTCAGAGTACATTCTGATTTTAACTTTTGAGTAGAGAGTCATCATAATTGGTTACCCTTTTTACAAGAAAATAAACTAATAAGGGGTACATAATTAAAAGTCCAGATACATACTTTGTGTTAAGGCATTTTAGTGTAACATGTTTTAGGATGTGTAACAGAATGTGAATCCTATTTCATTTTGCAATGTGTTCACACACACACCACCATAATGTGCAGAAGTGATACAAATTAGGAAAAAGCAAGGGAAGCATGCAGCACCCATCGGAAATGGGGGGAACCCCAAAAAGCAACCAAACCCCCAAGACCCATCGGAAATGGGGGAGGAAGCCAAAAAACAAACAGACCCCCCAAGACCCATCAGAAATGGGGGGAAAATCCAAAAACAACCAAACCCCCAAGACCCATCGGAAATTGGGGGGGACCAAAAAACAAACCAACCACCTAAGACCCATCAGAAATGGGAAAAAACACTCCTAAAAGCAACAAAAAAAACCAAGACCCATCGAAAATGAGGGGGGACCAAAAACCAAACAACCCCCCCAAGACCCATCATAGCACAGAAACATAACCCCCCCAGCGCCAAAGCATGCTGCAAAAACACCCAGAACAGTTTTTAAAAAGCAGAAAACAGCACCTTACCTTACCAGGCAGCCCAAAGCCTTCCTGCCAACACACACGCACACGCACACGCAGAAGCAGAAGCAGAAGCAGAAGCAGAAGCCAGACAGTCCCATGCCTCCTCCAATGCACAGTGACAAAAATGGTCCCCAGTGAGTCAGGGACTGCTATTTTTGTCTAATATATATTAATTCTTGTTAAATATCTGATATTAATTATCATTGCCAATATTTGTAAAGTGAACTACGCAAGTATAGACACACTGGAAGCAAAATAAAGGGCATGACAGGAAAAGGCCTTTACTTTGTAGTGCCCTCCACCTTTTCAGAAAATTATGGTCCCCCTCGAAATCTGGCTAAAAAGTGGACAGAAGGTAAGGATCTACATGCATGCTGCTCTTATGCTACCAGCAAACACTGGTGGTAGAGAGTGACATAGATTTTTCCCTGGGCATGACTGGAACATGAATAAAGGAAGTCAGCGAGAATAAAGGAAGTAAGCAGCTTGTTACCCTTCAGTCTATGCTTATTCGTTTGGGTTGCTATTTTAGATGGATAATATAATGCTTTTAATATAACACTGGCTGATGTTTTACTTATTTTAAAGATATACGAAGTTATTAACTGGAAAGAAGGGGTTGTTTTATCATGTTTTTAATGGAAAATTTATAATTCTGCCTAATTTTACAAAACTACAGTTATATGTATTTATTTTATATTGTTCTGGTTTTACTCATCTTTGACCATACTAAAGTTACTATTACTGCAATCTATCTTCAGTCCATGCTGGGGATAGGGGAGCTGGATTGGTCTGAGAGAAACTACTTCCAAGGCAAATAGCAAATTACTCACAACAAATTACCTGTGGAGAACATTATTAGGCCAGAATCCACTTAAGTGGAATGACTCATACAACACTGTTGTGTGAATGGTTCAGTATTTCCCACTATCTCCTTGCACAAGCAGAAGTCTCTTCATTCTTCTTCGTGGACTCTGTGAATGCACACGAATGGGTTAAACTGCGCTGAGCATGACTTTTCGGAATATTCTAGAGCTAATAAGCGACTAATAAAAACATTTACCCGTGCCGCACATACTCCACCCACCCGTGGTACCTCGGTTCCTTTTTGCCACAGCTGCAGTAGGACTTCTTCGCATCACTAGAGCTGTTAATTCTTTGAAATTCTTTGAAGTTGCTGCTTTTTTATCTCAGACTGTTTCCTGACTACGTCTTGTCTTCTCTGGATATTTGACTTGGACTCACCTGGTTTTCAATTATCGTTTTTTTGATTCGGCCGATTGCTATATCTCGTTGACCCTTGGACTGCTTACGGATTCTGATTTGGATCACAGATTGGACTTAGATTGATTTTATCTCTTGGCTTGATTTCTTGGTTTGAGCTGGACTGTTATCAGACCTTTTCCGTCAGTTGACTATCCCTTCCTTACCCATCGTCACCTTTCCTGTCAGATTTTATAGCCTCTTCAGGCCCTTTCAAACACTGCTTGTCGTGTGCTGCCAAAATTCCCTTTTCAGACAGACACGACCACTGTTTGTTCTGCTTAGGAGAACGGCGTCAACCCAATTCGTGTCAGGAGTGCAAGAAATTAACTAAGCCCACACTCAAACTCCGCTTACAGCGAATCCGATATTACCTCTGGGAGAAGTTGCTAACACCGTCGGGCCTGACATCTATGGAGTCTGTAGTGCCTTCGGTCCCCCCGACACCTCGTCCTGATACCGCTGCCACGCTGGCACCTGCCACCCCGTCTTCCAGGACTTCTTCCAAGATCTGCATATCAAAAAAGTCTTCAATATCAGGGTTGGTGTTGGTATTGAAGGTACCACTGGCTAAGGATTCTAAGAAGAGGAAAGAGACAGTTAAGCACAAGAAGGCCAAATACCCATCTAAATCTGTGCAACGTAAGGAACTTCCTCCAGCTCAAGGCGCTTTGCTGTCGCCTATCCTCGAGGAATCCTCCAGGGATGTGCATGATCCCAAATTGTCTTTGGATGGGGATGGCGTTGTACTACAGCCAGAACAACAGGCTTCGATGTCGGTACCGAGCCTGTCTCTGACCCTGGCCATTGGGAGGCTGATGTATTTTCCAGCCTGGCCTTGGCCCATTCAAGCCCTGTATCTACCAGGCGGGCAACAGTGATCAAATTGTCTAGCTCGGAAGCTTCAACTCAACAAGCTCCTCCATGTAAGCGGCATGCAAAGCATCGGCATCTATCTCCAGACCAACAGCTTTCTCAGCAGCGGGACCTGATAGTACTTCCATATCCATCTCGGTGTCATGCTTTTGTGGAACACCAGGAATCACTTTACGTGGAGGTGGATCGGCATGGTAGTCAACGTCAATACCATGAGGACTACCTTGATCCCGTGTACGATACTGGCAAATATATCAGACCCAAAAGGGTATGGTACATTTATGCCTCTCCTTCAGAGTCTTCTGAGTCACCTTCACCACCTTGACATCGGCACCGAGCCTACATCCAGCTCGACCATACAACTTTGAGACATGCCACCAAACGCCATTTTCCTCAACAGGACCAGCGTACACTTCACTGTCCAAAGCGTTCTCAGGATCCTTTGGTGCTGTCATCATCAGTATCACACCCGAAGTCTTCGCACTCTCAATCATCTTGGCAGACAATGCCTACAAAAACCACCTGAAACAGTCTTCCGCACCGGTTTTCCATACTACAGCCTCCATATCAAGGGCTCACCATTGCTCTCCTTCACCTCCTGTATCTCCTGACAGAGAATCCAGGGGTTCATCATTATCCTCAATATCTGAGCAGGACCAGCATTCGGAGGTTTCTAGAGAATCACCTTCAAAATTACCTACAACGGACTCTGATGTGGCTGATATCCATCCCCCGTCTCCTTCCAAAGATTTTACTTTGTACTCTCAGTTAATTTTATGGATGGCCAAGTCATTGGAGATTGGCACAGACCAACCTCCTCCCAAGCAGGACCTGGTCTTTGATGATTTAAATCAAGATAGAGCCACTCCTTTGAGTTTGGCTTTTATCCCAGCAATGTTAGATCTTATTAAAGAGTCATGGAGTCAGCCATCTACATCTCTGCAAATGTCAAGACGCATCGAGAATCATTATAGAGCACCGAACTCCATCATCGTGCAGTCAAACCAATCGAGAGCCAGAGATCGCTCCAAGATCGCCCCTACTAATAGGGAGGGTCATAAGCTGGATATCTTAGGCCACTGCATGTACTCTCTAGTGTCATTCAGAATGAGAGTCTCTAAGTATCAGGCAGCGATGGGTGCCTACCAAAGACAATTGTGGAATAAGGTCCTACCAGTTCTGCAAACCGCACCGGAAGAAACTAGGGCCACAGCTCTCAATGCACACTTCGACACGACGACATTGGCTAAGCAGCAACGACTGGCATCACGTCATACAGCAGATGCTGCTTCCAAATTTCTCACATCGGCAGATGCTTTTAGAAGACATGCCTGGCTGCACTCAGCAGGAATCAGTGACAAAGCCATGTCCCGTTTTGAGGAGCTGCCGTTTGATGGCATGGGGCTATTCAACAAGAAAACAGATGAGGTGATGGAGAATTTGGATAAGATCAGGAAGACAACTAGATATTATTATCTCCAGCAGCTCAAATATCAATGGCAACAATGGCGTAAACCCGTCACCTCTTACCAATCATACCAACAGCCTTATCAACAGGCCTACCATCAGTATAAACCTCCACAAGAAAGATCTAATCCTCCTCCATCTTCCTCTGCCACTACCTATTTTCGAGCTCAGGTTTCTGGTCAACATTGTCAGAATTTCCGCTACCCTGCCAAGAAAGGCAAGCAATATCTTTGTCTTCTACTCAATCCCCCCTCTTCAACCTGTCCCTCTCTCGACTAGTCTGTTTTTTTGACAAGTGGTCCTCCATCACCAAGGACACTTGGGTGCTAGTTGTCATACATTTTGGTTACCTGTTAGAGTTCTCAGATCGTCCTCCTCTCGGTTATATCAAAATCAGATCTTATTCACCTGCTCTAGAAGAAGAAGTCTGTGTTCTTCTCTAGAAGTATGCCATTCAACACGTTTCTTCTCAGGAAGCACTGGACACTTCAATTCCCAATACTTCACAGTTCCCAAAAAGGATGGAGACTTGCGGCCAATTCTAGATCTTGGGTGTCTCAATACTTACCTTCATCTGAGAAGATCACTTTAGAATCCATCGTCCTCTTCTCTTTCCAGGTGATTGGTTTGTTGTGATAGACTTACAGGACGCTTATTTTCATGTTTTCATACATGAGCGCCTTTGCAAATATCTCTGATTTGTGTTCAAGGGATCAGTGTACCAATTCTGCACCCTGCCATTCGGGCTTACCACTGCCCCAAGGACTTTTACCAAGTGTCTAGCTCTGACAGCAACCTATCTGCGTCTAAACAACATCATGGTCTTTCCATACATAGACGATTGTCTGATCGTAGCAGGCTCTTGCGCCAAGGGACAAGAGAACAAAACTCTGACAGATCTAGGACTTCAAGTCAGCTTTACAAAGTCCCATCTTCAACCTTCTCAAGTCATGAACTACATTGGCGTAGTTTTGGACTCCAACAGAGCCAGAGTCTTCCTCCCTGCTGAGAGGATCATCAAGTTACCTCGTGCTATTCGCTCTTTTCGGCAGATTGCCAAGGTGTCGGCTCTTCACACGCAATATCTCCTAGGTCTTATGGCTTCCAAAACATCTGCTCTTCCTCGTGCTCGGCTGAAGATGCGTTCACTACAAGCATGGTATCTCTTTCAGTTTGACCCATTACTGGACAAACCTGCCAGAAGTCTACAGGTCACTCCAGAGTTATCTCGCCAGCTAATGTGGTGGACGTTCAGGCCTCATCTTCTGATTAGTCGACCCTTCAGACCCCTTCAACTGGCTGTTCAGATTCCGACAGATGCCAGCACAACAGGATGGGGTGCGCATTGCGGCGCTCACAAGATCCACACTGTGTGGTCCAGCACAGAGAAGCTGCTACATATCAATCATCTGGAGATGTTAGTAGTAATCAAGCCCCTTCGCACTTTCTATCCACTGGTGGTCGGTCACGGAGTACAAGTAGCTACAGACACCATGACCACTCTGTACTACATAAACAAGCAGGAAGGCACTCACTCGTTGTCTCTCCCACACCTATGGGAGTGGTGTTACAATCATCACATATTTCCCATCGCCATCTATGTGGCTACGGAGGACAACGATGTGTTTGCCCAGATCTGCAGCAGGTGGGGCAAACCAGCTATCAACATCTTTGCCAATCAGTTCAACACAAAGTGCAAATGGTTTTGCTCTTGGGCAGGGAGAGGCATGGGCTCCTTGGGAGATGCCTTTATGGTGAAGTGGGATGAGGTTCTTCTCTATCTCTTCCCCCCTATCCCATTCATTCAGAAGACAATAGCCAGAATTCAATAGCTGCGGGCACATGCCATCCTGGTGGTACCATAGTGGCCTTGGCAGCCATGGTTTATCACCCTCAAGGCCATTGTGACCGATTACCTGAGATTGCATCCTCAACCATATCTCCTGACTTGGGACGGAGACAACGTCTGTCACTCAGTCATAGAATCTCTCCACCTGACGCCTTGGAGGATTCCCCCTCTATAAAAGAAGTGCTTGAAAGGGCTTGGAAGCCTTCAGCTGCACTACTGTACAGTACTCTTATAAGTGGTCTGTGTTTACTAAGTTTGCTGAGACCAGAGGTTTGGTCATTGTTCCAGTTTCTTTAAGAACCATTCTTCCTACGTTATTTGTTCGATATGGGCCTAGCACATTCCACACCTAAAGTTTATGTGTCAGCCATTGTTTCTTATCAATCTGTTGGTTCGGATGCTTTCTATTTATTTTCCCAACTGACGTTTAAGTGATTCTTACGGGGACTACAGAATATTTGTCCACCCGTGCTGCAGCCAATCCCTCAATGGTCTCTGCAGACAGTGTTGAAGGCTCTCACACAATCTCCATTCGAGCCTATGACTTCTACTTTCTATCGCTAAAGACTTTGGTTTTGGTGGCTATTACATCTGCACGGAGCAAGCAAGTTACCTGCACTACGGGCTGATGCACCTTATGTACAGTTCCATCCCAGTAAGGTCATATTACACCCTGATGTCTCATTCCTCCCAAAAGTAGTTTCGAATTTTCATGTTAATCAGCTTTTGATTCTCCCAATATTATTTCCTACCCCTTCTTCAGATGTTGAGTGCATGCTCCATTCCCTTGATGTTTGTCCAGCTCAGGCTTTCTATATTTCCAGGACTAAGGACTTTCCTAAATCGCCTAGATTGTTTGTCTGTTTTCATGGACCTAGAAAAGGTCACTCAGCTTGCTCTCAATTTGTGTCCAGATGGATTGTCTCTGCCATCGCTTTAGCTTATCAGCTGGATGGCAAGACCCCACCAGATGTGCTAAAAGCGTATTCTGCTAGAGCCATGGCTACTTCTACTGCCTGGGTGCGTGGCATTGAACTTGATGACATCTGTCAATCAGCTACTTGGTCTACACCATTGACCTTTGTGACACACTGCAGGCTGGATGTCAGAGCTAAGAAGGAAGCAAGTTTCTTTGTGACACACTGCAGGTTGGATGTCAGAGCTAAGAAGGAAGCAAGTTTCGGAAGGGCTGTGTTGACTTCGGTTTTGCCATGACGGCCCTCCTTCCGGTAAGTGAGCTTGCTAGTCACCCATTCGTGTGCATTCACAGAGTCCACGAAGAAGAAAGAGGTTACTTACTTGTAACCATGGTTCTTCAAGTGGTACTCTGTGAATTCACATGTCCTACCCAACCTCCCTGCTGTCCGTCACGTCTTGCCTATGGTTTTTAATTATCAGAGCCTGGGCAGTGGTGGACATATGGAACGGAGCTACCGTGGGCAGGCAAATTCACACGTCCTACCCAACCTCCCTGCTGTCCGTCATGTCTTGCCTATGGTATTTAATTATCAGAGCCTTGGCAGCGGTGGTCATATGGAACGGAGCTACCGTGGGCAGGCAGAACATGTGTGACACGGGTAAACATGTTATTAGTCAGCTTATTAGCTCTAAAATATTCTGAAGGGTCCTGCGCAGGGGCAGTTTAACCCATTTGTGTGAATTCACAGAGTACCGCTCGAAGAACCATGGTTACAGGTAAGTAACCTCTCTTTCAGACAGGTGGTCTGATCCTGTGCAATAGAAAGCCAAAGATAACATGCAGTTCTAACCAAGGATTGTACCCTGCTGGAAAGCAACAAGATTCTGGAATTAAGTTGTGGCTGCTTTTGAGTTATATAGAAATTTGTGTCGGTACGATCTTTTAAAAACGTATTTATACTCAAGACCAGAGATAGGGGTATTCATGTATGAATACCCCCTCACAGATGGTGATAACAAGCGTCCAGCCTCATGGGGCCGGATGGTCCACTCACAATTCTGCCACTGCTGCAACCTCCGCAGAGCCTTCCAATGGCTCTAGAGATTGTGATTGGCTCGTCCCTCCTGGGAGGAGGCAGGACAACAGGCCTCTTTGCCAGGTAGAAGAGCGGCTCATAGATCGCAATCTCCAGAGCCATTGGAAGACTCCATGGAGGTTGTGGCAGTGGCAGAATTGTGAGTGGACCGTCTGGCCCCATGAGGCTGGACCCTCATCGCCACCTATGTGGGGGTATTCATATAAGATACCCCCATCTCTACTCAAGACATTTTGCCCTAATTTAGAAGTTGTAACTGCTAAAGTTAAAAATGGAGATAGCAAATAGTTGTTAACTATATAACTTAACCACCAAAGTTTAAAATACAATATCTGTGATCTTTATAGGCATGACTTCACCAGGTCCAACTAATAAATCAGCACTTCACCCAGAAGAACATGATTGGTTTGACAGTCCAAATCCTCCAAAAAGAAGGCGACGAGAAACAGGAAAACGATTATATAGGTTTGTTTATTAGATTTATACTAAGACAGAACACACGCTTCGTTTCATTGACTTCTAGAGGTCTTTCTCTGGTTGTCCCACCAGAATTTCAACATAAACTCGTTGTATACTAAGTGTTGGATGGAGGGGTTATAAGGCATAGATCACTGCAAGTCCTGTGGCCTCTGGGTGTTCTGCGTCTTCTTACCCACTGTGCTGCTAGGCCAGATACTGAGCTAAGTAAGGATTGAAAGTATCAGGTAATTCTAATAGCTCCCTACTGGCCATAAAATGGATTGTTCCTCAGCATCTTAGCTATGATTCAAGTAGATATGGCACTTCCAGCTTTCAAAGGCTTGTTAAATTAAGTGAGATCAGTCACATGAAACAAGAGTGCATCTAAGTACACATAGCTCCTGAAAGGGAGTGCTTGCTGAAGAAAATGTATTCTGCCCATACCATTGACATGATTCTATGCTTGAAGACCGAGATAGCCCTTCTTCTTTTTCAGGGAGGCAGGTAATATTTCTCAGCATCAAATTAATTCCACTCAGCATGCAAAGGAATATGCATCAAAGGTCTTCAGTAGGTGCTGTGATGTTATCAGCTTTTGGGCTTTATTGTGACTTTATTTGATGGTAAGATATTGGGCTGTGGAGCCAGAGGCTGAGAGCCTGGTTCCCCACTGCGCCTCCTGGGAGAAGAGTCAGTCTATGGAGCCATGGGCAAGCTGCACTGTCACAGGGCACCCCTAGAAGAAGGAAATAGCAAACCACTTCTAGATGTTATCTAATGAGGAAATCCTGAAGTCAGAATTGACTTGACAGCATGGAATTATTATAATTATACTCTGGTGGATTTCAGTGGCCTCAGAGATTTCTCTGAAAAGACCATTGAAAAGTAGATTAGTGACCACAAACTTTCTAATGATGTTCCCCAACAAAAAGTCATAACTGCACAAAATTGTAATTGTGAAATGCTTTTGAATAGTGACTCTTTCCAATCTTCTTCCCTTCTTCTGGGAAGATAGTTAGTTCTTCTTCTGGTCTACAGTTAGTCTTTCTTTTCTTACCTTAAAAAAAGTTGGCTTTCTCCCCCATTCCTACTGTTTATGACATCTACAAACCCATTTAAGAAGTGTGCCACTTGTAAAAATAAAATCTAACGGACAGAGTGCCTCTGTTGCCTAGGAAAGGGACACCAGATACAGACATGCCAGATTTGCAAACATTTCACTAAAATTGCTTTTAAGAGCAGGAAATTGAGACTTCCAAGTTCTATTTCTGAGGAAGGTCATTACAGGCCATTGACATTATTTTGAAACAAACATTAACATTGACAATAGGTATTTGTAAAACATCTTCCAAGAAAGTGCTTATAGAGTCCAAGCAAACAGATATAACTTTAATAAATGCTCAGGATGACTCGATTTCACAAGTATCAGAACCATCATAACAAGTCATCTCCAAAAGAGTCAACTTTGAATGCCTACTACATTGAAACCAACACCCTCAGGGTCAAAAAAAGAAAGAAACTCATTACTGATATTCAAGATAGTTAGAAAGCTAAAGTTGTAACTGTAAAGACAAAACTGGACAGATGAAATAACTACCATTCATTGTGCTTTGACTTTCAACACCACAGCCCACTACATCACAGAACAGAGAACAAAGTTATCTTACTTGTTTGAGATCGATATTAGAAGATGAGGCTCCACATCAGTCCCACAGATTCAACAGCATTTAGTCATTTATCAGAATGGAGTCACTTAACATATTTATCAGAGATTGAACTAAGATCTCAGATAAAGAAAATTCTAAGTGTAATAGACATAAACAAACAGAAAAACAGTATCAACATCAGTGGTCTATTGATAGATCTCATTGGAATCAGGATCTCTGCATTCATAGGTATCAAGGGACAAAAGTTTGCTTTTGTAACACTTGATCTTTGAACAGTTTTCTATGCTTCCAGATGATCCACCTTCTCCTTGGCACCTGTGGTTAATTGAATTTTGCTGCTATGTTGCACAAAACTCAGAAACTGAGGGAAAGGCATGCGGAACTTGTGCTGTGAGGTGGAGAGACCATTGGTCAGAGCTTTCAGTCTGGAAGATTGCGAAAGGGGTGGCTTTGTCCTAGCACAGGCCTATTAGTGTGAATACATAGATTACTCAAATAACAAATGTTGTATAAGCAACACATTTTTCCGTCTACTTTATGCAATTTCTTGTTACTATGTGCCATCAAGTCACTTCCAGCATCTAATGACCTTAATGGGGTTTTCAAGATATATGAGATGTTCAAAGACTGGTTTACCATTGCCACTCACAAGTGAGTTTCCATTGTCGTGAATGGATTTAAACCCAAATTTCCTCAGTTGCAAAGCAAAAGGGTGCTGGCCCATAGCATTTAAAGCACCTCTGGGAGGTTTACAAATTAATTATTCAGGCTACATATTGTCCCCTCAGGAAGCTGGGTACTCAATTTACCAAAAGGATTGAAGGCTAAGTCAACCTGGAGCTGGCTGCCTTCAGCCCATTGGGATCAAACTCAGGTTGTGAGCAGAGTCTTTGATTGCAGTACTGCAGTTTAACTACTGTGCCACAAAACTCCTAACCTATACCATGCTGACTTTCCTTTCTGATTTATTTTCTCCCATTTTCAATTTTTGACTGTTGCTTGTTTATAGGATTATTTAATGATGTTATGAATTTACACCGGAAAAATGTGTAGTCTTATTTTTAAAAAGAAATTATAAATGGTGCTTTATAATTTGAATTATTTATTTATTTATTTATTTTTATTTATTAAGTTCATTTCTAAAATGACTATTATTTATTTATTTATTTATTTATTTATTTATTTATTTATTTATTTATTTATTTATTTATTTATTTATTTATTTATTTATTTATTTATTTATTTATTTATTTATTTATTTATTTATTTATTTATTTATTTATTTATTTATTTATTTATTTATTTATTTTTATTTATTAAGTTCATTTCTAAAATGACTATTATTTATTTATTTATGCATATTTTTATAGACCAGAAGAATCGGTCTCATCTTCTCCCATGAAGAAACAGCAGCAAACAGCAACTCTTACATCAAATATGAATGGAACCCCCAAAAGAAAGAAAACAGAATAATCACATGTGTAAAAAAATAGTTGCATACTGAAATAGGTATACAAAAAGGGAAAAAAGTAAATTTACTGCCATATTTTTATACTGATCGAGAAGTGTTCTAGTTTATGACGACAACTAGCTATATGCTGATTTGTATACTTTTTTATTACTATTGCACCTCATTTATTAAATTTTGATATGTGGAAGTCATGCATTTTTATTTATGTATTTTTTTCTTCAATTTTGGCAATAAAATTGTTACAGTACTAAAGATTTTTCTAGTACAGTATAATGTGATGATTGATGTTGGTGAAAACATAATGAGAGCTTTTTTAAAACAAACTTTTTTTATTTATTTCATTGTTCTAAACTGGCTTTATACTGTATATACCAAATGAAAAAGCACAATATCACAGTTCGTTTCACTAAATGTCAGTAACATCTTGTGTCCACATGCAAAGGCTTTAGGAATTCGTAATCCATGTTAAAACTATAACAAATATCTTAATATAAGTAGTGAATGTGTGTAAAATGAAGATGTGATAGACCATTCACCTTTTATACTTTCACATACTGACTATCAGTACCAGTAGCAGGCTCCATTTAGTGAATGTTATGGTTCCATTAAAAGACACAGTAGAACTGAAATGCCTAAAATCTCCCGACTAGAAATGAGCACAAAGCGAGCCACAAACCAAAAAAATTGTCTGGTCTATGGTTCATTTCACGACCCAGTTTTGGGATCCCATTTTTTGCCAAAGCAAAATGAAACACCAAACTTCTCTCCCTTTGGTGTTTTGTGTGCTTCGGCAAAAGGGGATACTGACCTTCCCACTTCCCACCTGCCTCCATCACTGCCACCTACCTGCCCCTGCCTCTGCCACTGCTGTGGGTGCCATCCTCAGAAGAAACAGGACTAGCTTCCCTGCCAGGAGCTGCCTCTGAGCATGCATCCACCTATCAGCTGAGCAGCAGAGGCACGCTCAGAAGCATGCCACCCACCTACCTGATAGGTGGGCTCCTTTCCAGGAGCCTGCTATTGCTTCTTAGCATGTGCCAATGGTGGAGGAGGCAGCAGGAGCAAGTACTCTCCCCCCCCAGCAGAAACAAAAAGAAAATTGAACTCCAATTCATTTTTCCAGAGGTTTGTGGTGGTTTGTGGTTAATCACAAATCACAAACCATCATGAACTACTGGTACTCTGGTTTGTACCCATCTATACTCCCCACCCATGTTTTAACCCATTTTCCATTAAAAGTATCCCTCTACATCTTATTGCAAACTGCCCTGAAAACTGGATTTATTTGAAAGATATAGCATAAAATAAAAAACAGATTTAGAAATGGCATTAGTAAATATTAAGATACTGCTCCCCAATGTGTAACAGTTGCAATAGCTGGTTAAAAGGAGAACTGAAGAGAAAAGGTCAAGCTTTGCTTGACTCCAGCGCAGAAGAGTCAATGCATCAGGAAGATATTTCCATGATTTGGGGAGTACTGCTGATAAATCATTATCTCTTGTACCTACTATCTTGATGCATCTGAACAGCAGACACTCAAGAATGACCCAGAGATCAAATTTTATCATAGAGGCAGGACTACATGGATGAAAGTGATCCTCCAAATAAGCTACTTCAAGGCTGTTCTGTGCTTTAGAAGTTGAGACCAAAACTTTGAATTGGGCTTGGAAACATACTGGCAGACAATATGTGTTGTGGACTGGTGACTTGAGTGTGACGTAACGCTTTAACATTTTCTGTACTTAAAATCTGTAGAATGAACAGTGTGATGTGCAGAGGACAAGTCATAAATGTAATCGAAAACTTTCAAAAGGAAGGAAAAATATAGAATCTGCAAAATAAAGTTATTTCAGATTTGTTCTCTATCTGTTGTTACAAGACTTCAGTGAAAGGACAAACACCTCATACTACCCAGTATATCAAGGGAGTTCGTAATGGTGATATTTAGGATAAAGTTAAATCCTACAGCTCTGTGTAACGGTTCTTAACATGTTTAAAGCTACGTGACAGCTCTTTGCTCTGTACGCCACTCTGCTGTCCAAAATATGTAAGGCATCCTGGTCTAGCCCTACTACATTCTAACTAACTTAGTCTCAGCGCATATGCTTAGTAGAGAAGAGTGCTACAACAGTTGAATTCCACCAGGTAGAAGCAGCCATGATTCTTGTTTGTGGTCTCTGTAATTTACATATATGAGCCTTTCAACTGCTTAGAACCATACCCAGAATCTTGTAGAACTGACTAGCTTTTAACGGAACCCTTCTACTACCTCGCTACAGCACATGTATAGTGCACTTCAGTTCAATTCTCTTAAGTTCCATTTTGTCCTACATCAAACCAACATCATTAGTAACCCTCTTGAATTGTTAACTCAGTAGTTTGCCTTTCTTTTATTTTCTTCAGTATTTTCATTGTTAATTTCTTAGTTTGATTTACTTTCTGTTTCACTGCCCCATTTTATTTTTCTTGCTATTGTTTCAAGCTCTTCCCATTTCTTACAACCTTCAAGGCTCTTTTCAACAAGTGTGTCTCATGGGGAGTGGGGGGAGACTACCTCTAGAGATGGTCTCTTTAAGTGACTTTATTGTTTAGGAACAACTCGTCCCTCTCAGTCCTGCAAAGGATTTTTTAAAAAACAAGATCTCGGGCTTCTACAACTTAAGCTACACCTATTAGTTTGGGAGCATTCTCTAAAAACAGCTGATAAGGTTGCCTTTAATGAACCTCTTCACACTGCTTTTGTTGAATCTGAAAACATTTTCATTTTTCCAAAGTCATTCTGCATGGTCACTTTATCACCAATTCTCCCTCTTAGGATTAGTGATTGGTTTGCATCTATGCACCAGAGTTACATTTCTTTATTTCTTTATGTTTATTTCCTGGAGATACCTGATCTGGCCATGATGACACATGCCTTAGTTACATCCCAGCTGGACCACTATAACACACTTTATGTAGGGCTGCCTTTGGAAATGCTGGGAAACTTCAGCAGGTCCAAAATGCCACAGCCAGATTGTTACAGGGCTCACATAACCCACCTGTTACAGCAGCTCCATTGGCTGCCGGTTAGTTTCCAGGCATAATTCAAAGTGATGGTTTTAACCTATAAAGCCCTTAACAGTTTGTGTCCAAGCTATATCAAAGACCACATCTCTGTTTATGAGCTTGTCCGGGTGTTTAGATTACAGGGGAGGCCTTTCTCTCAGTCCCACTACCTTCACAGTTGCACCTGGTGGGGATACAGGAGAGGCCCTTCTCTGTTGCTGCTCCCAAACTCTCGAACTCCCTCCCACAGTCTAGGCTAACCCCATCTTTGCTGTCTTTCAACAAGCAGGTGAATATCTTATTTTCATGCAGGCTTTCCCTTAGTGACTGGCTGTCTAAAAGGGTTTTTTAAATGGGATAGCTTGTATTTTTGTTGTTTTTAAATCTGTTTTAAGAATGTTTTTACCTAACATTTTTAATATGTTTATTTAATACTTTTTAGATATTTGTATACCTTACTGTTTTTAGCTTTCAAGTACTGTGTTTTTAGTTATGTAAACTGCTTTGGGTCCTTTTTAGGAGAAAGGTTAAAAAAATTAAATAAATGAATGAATAAATAATTTCTACATCTCCATCATCCTTCCCATTATCAGTATCTCCATTTTTCATTTGGTTGTAATTTCTACTAGTTCAGAGTTTTGTCCTTCCATTTGGTAATAGCCACATGTTTAGAATATGTATGGCTCTTTCTGTGCACACAAGGTATATGTGTCTTGTGCTACATCTTACTTGAGTGCTATAGCCACAGTTTCTTTTGATTTTCTCATCACCAGAGTAAAATACTTTATCATTATCTGACTGAAAATGTCCTGATCCAACCCACTTCAGTTCAGTCACATTAAGTCCTGCGGTGTTTAAATGACTCATTTCTCGCTTTACATCTTCAAATTTATTTTGATTCACACTTCTTATATTCTACATATCAGTTCTATGTGCTATGCAGCATCGGACTTTCCTTTTGTCTCTGTGCACACTGGCCACTAAATTACCTTTCCATGTTAACTTAGTTTCTTCTTCGTGGCCTCTGTGAATCACACCCTGGGTAATCCGCGCATGTAAGGCCAAAACAATTCCTCCCCCCCCCCCAACTCCTTAGACCTATTTTTGGTCCGTTTCAACGCTGTGTGGCCTGCAGCAATACAATTCCACACTCTGACGGCCATGTGAAATGCCTTTTCTGCCTCAGCGAGACTCATCAAACCTTATAGTGTCTCCATTGTAAGAACTTAAAACGCGGAGTCCTCCGCAGCTGCCTTTCTCACCTTAAATTGCAGCTCTGGGAGCAATCTCTCCAGCCGACTAATCCCATGGCACAACCTCCCTGTAAGTCCATATCCCACGCTAAGGCCACGGACAAGGCAGTCTCCAAGGTGGCAAAACACCACCAGGCACCTACTCCTTCCTGCTCTGATTCCATACCTTTCACCTCTACAATCCCACAAGTTCACAAAACTAGAGTCAAAGCCAAAGTCCTCAACATCGAAGGCTGCATCCAAGAGGAATCTGTTCCACAGACGCTTCCTTGGCACCTCCACCATCGCCTCCAAAGAAGGCTAAATCCTTGAAGTCGAAGCCTCTTCCAGCCATTCCCCTGACTCCGCAGCCACTGGAGTCTGGAGATCTCATTTTTGTCAGTTTCCTTTCAGACAAGGAACCACTTCCACCTCATCAACAGTCTCCCAAATGGGAACAGTGGGTCAACCAGCTGACAGCCTCTTCTACAGCCCACAACAATCTTCGGGCTCTTTGAGCGCATCCTACCAGATGCTGAAGCTCAACCAGACACTGTCCATGTATGCCTACCACCTCAGTCTCTGGCACATCAGCAAAGACATCAAGCCTCTAAGAGGCTTACCTCCGCTTACCCTCACACATGGAAATGGAGTACACTCAGCACCATCATCGGTGCCCAATGGAAAAGCGCACTGAACATCATCGACCAGACATTCTTCCTGGTCTTTGAGTGCAGCCAGAACATGCTGCCCCTCCTAGGGAGGCTTTGGAGTCGAAATGATCCTCATGATCGTTCTGAGATGCTTGGCACCACGTATCCACTGGCACCAAAAAGGTCCAAGCAAGCTGACCAATATTCCTTGACTCCTAGCATGTTTTCAGTTCTGGCAAGTTACTACTTCCCGGCTCATCCAGAAGACCGCAAGCATTCATCCCGCTCTGCATCTCCAGCATCTGTCTATTCCACTATGATACAGTGCGGTCCATCAATGCCTTTTCCATTGTGACAGCGGTCTCGATACCGACAACAACCTCCATTCGAACACAAACTTGACACTGATTCCTTTGATATCAACAATCCTCAACATCTAACAGTGTCCATGGACTCACCCACGGTCTCTGCAGCAACCGAAGACCCTTGATATTAGCCCTTGTCCACGGGCATACTTTCGATCTCGATACCCGTTGAAGACCCTCAATATTGACAGCTGTCCATCAACGCACCTTTGATATTGGCATCTTGAAGTCGATACTGATACTTCGAAGATCATCCTCTTGATGTTGATGTCATTCGACAGTCAGTAAACTCATGGCACGCTCCCGAACAGTCTGAACATGGCTCTAGACCTCAAACACCATCAGTATTACTAATATCTCTAGACTCAGATCTGGCAGATACAGATCCTCCATCTCCAGCTAAGGATGTTCAAACTTACGCCCAGCTAATGGTCCATATGGTCCCTCAACCTCCAAATTCATAGACCCACGACCAAACCAGCAAATCACCTCTATGACCCCATCTCTAAGGATACTACAACACTGGTCCATATTTCCATGCTGCCATCTCTTCTCAGCACACCACGCTGCTCCTGGACCAAGCCAGTGTCCTCCCACTCAGTGTCGAAATGCATAGACAACTTCTATCAGGTGCACAACTCAGGTGCTATTTTCTTACAAAAACAGCCGGCGCTAACTCTATACAGTGGTGCCTCGATTTACGAACGTCTCTACTTACGACCATTTCAAGTTATGACCATCTCCAGACGCAAAATTTTGCTTTTGCAACCGGAGCTTCCACTTACGAACAGAAAAAAGCAGTGGGAAAAGGCGGGAAATTCAAATTTCTAACTGTAGGTGGCAACGAGGCTGCTTCTTTGTAACTCTTTCATCCCAGCAGTTAGAGAATGTGCGATTGGAGGAGGCTTGGGACTGCCTGGCTTCTGCTTCTAAGTGAGCGTGTGTGTGTCTGCATGGAGGTGTCAGGCTGCCTGGTAAAGTAAGGTGCTGTTTTCTACTTTTTAAAAACTGTTCCGGGTGTTTTTGCAGTGTGGTTTTAGGCTGGGGGGGTTATGTTTCTGTGCTGTGATGGCTCTTGGGGGGGTTGGTTGTTTTTTGGTTGTTTTTTCCCCATTTCCGATGGATCTTGAGGGTTTTGTTGCTTTTTGAAGTGTTTTCCTCATTTCCGATGGGGGATTTGGTTGCCTTTGGGGTTTTTTCCCCATTTCCGATGGGTCTTGGGGGGTTGTTTGTTTTTTTGCTTCCCCCCATTTCCGATGGGTCTTGGGGGGTTTGGTTGCTTTTTGGGTTTTTTCTCCCTTTTCCCATCGGATGGGATGGGAAGTCTTGCATGCTTCCCTTGCTTATCCCTTTGTTCTCTTTGCATTTCTGATCTGCTCTGTTTGTTTTCTGTGCATTTCCGATGGGTCTTGCCCGCTTCATTGCTTTTCTCCCCCCCCCCTTAAGACGGAAGGGATTAATGACGTTTCCAATGAGTCTTGCAGTGATTTTTTTTGTGATTTTTTTTTCCTTCGGCCGGAACAGATTAATTGCATTTCAGTGCATACGTATGGGAAATGGTGCTTAGTCT